AAATATAGAAATGATGGATATGAATAGAGAATTTAGATATGTTCCGAAGCTGAAAGAGTCTGAAAACCCGCAACATTTTTTTCAGTACGGAAGACCTTTGTGGGGTGCACTACTATCACCTTCTGATAAAGTTGAAGGATTCAAACCGGAACGTATTATAGAATTAGCCGTAGACAAGCTTATTGGTGGCAAGTCTTTCATTCATTGGAAAAAACAATCCCAAAACAACATTAGTATTACTGAAACTTTAGCTATTTTTGGGCCCCGTTTATGCATTGACATAGTGCCACAATCTAGATACGCATCTCATTTGGTAGCAGGCTATATGCACCTTTGTCTTAATATTTCAGATGATCGTGAATACGTTGTTACGTCGATGCCTACTGAACCCGTGCTGGCAGAGGCTAGTGCTCGAATAATGAATGATCCAACTGTCCATCTCACAGAACTTATTAATCAGCTCTCTTCAGCGCTCAAGAAAGGTGTAGTAGAAGCCGGTTATCGTGGAGAACTTACTGCCAGACTATTGCTTCTTAAAGCCTGGGATAATTGCATTCAAAAGAAACATCCAGGTAGCAGATATGTTGGCAATGATTATTCTCGGTTCGTGACTATAAATGAATTTTTAAAGTCACTACTTGCGGATAATGTTTATAAAAAAATTGAGGATAATCTTAAAACGCAAGTGAAGTTTACGGGAACGACGTTTGGCGAAGCTAACATTAAGTTTACACATTTTATTAATGTTACGTATACGCCGAATAGGAAAAATTTAGGGGAAGCTCTGATGCGTGGTGTTGCGTTTTCATGTAAACGAAATCAGCGAGGAGTAGATATCATCATACCTATATATATTGGCACTCTTAATGAAAAGCTTAACGAAGATCGCATTTCATACATACTAATACAAGTTAAAAATTGGACTACGAATAATAAAGGCGATGATTACCCACTCTCTGCAACAGCAAAGCTGTCACCATCATATATAGACATTGAGGAACTTCCGCATATGCCGTTTTTGTCGTTGTATTTGCAATTAGGCGCAACAGGAGAGTTTGTTGACGTCCCAACAGAGTTTATTCAAACACGTCAAGTCAAGTTATGTAAACGTAAAATCGAAGGAGTGTTGGAAGATTATCAAGCAAGTGATACCGAAACGAGAAGTGAATTTGTCAAGAAGATTAGAATCGACGGCGATAAGGATATCTCAAATGCCGAAGTTACAGCGTTCAGGGAGCATTTTCAGACGCCACTTGCATTATTTGGATTATCTCCGAACATCTACAGTTGTTTAGAGCACTCTACACCAGTTTCTGCAACCTCACCACCAACTATCGCTAATGATCTTGCAAATAACTTTAAACAATTGTTGACTGCTTGGGTTGACCCTACATTAGGGGAACATCCAGAAGAAATGACAATAATTAAACGTATGGAACCATTAGTATACAATATGGAGGAGTAAAAAGACTGTTTATATAAAATTTAATGGATATGTGATATCATGTACAGTATGTTGGTTCGGTAAAGGGTGTAGATCGAGCGAAACGGGATGTTGTAGTTCAATATTTGTTGTTTTTAGCATGTAATATACCGCAATATAGTCAATTATTAATAAAACTGGCTCTGGTAGCCGA